GCCCTGCCCGGCCCCACGCAGATGTGAGGGGCACCCCCCACTCCTGGGGTGCGCGGAGCAGCGGGAGCCGCCATCCTTCCCCTGACAAGCCAGGGCTTCATCCTGCGACTCACTCTGTCCTGGCTGGGCAGCACCTGCCCCAGTCCCTCTGTCACCATGGGGGGCATTGATCTGACCCCCCATGTCTCTTCCCTCTCTCTTCCCCTTCCACCACAACTTATTTACCAGATGCATGTAGCTCTCCATGCTGCTGGGCTCTGCTCCTTGATTCCTGAGTACTGTGCTGCAGCTGCATGCACACATGAGCATTTATTGGCCAAATTATTGGCCACATCAGGCTATTTCTGATATAGCCAATTTTCTTTATATTGATACCAGTCTGATATCGGACCAAAGTATCAGTGCACCTTTATTTCCGATTGATGTGGAGTGAAAAAATTTTGTTTTTCCTCACTGAAATGAAAATCCCAAACTATTTCATTTCAGGTTGACCAAATGAAATGGTTCTACTAGAAACAAACTGTTAATCTTAGAGCGGTTGGCAAAAAGTCATGGATGGCAAAAAGGCAAGATTCTGGAGGACTGGAGGTGGGCTAGCATAGTACCTATCTTCAGAAAGGAAGATCTGGGGGATTATAGGCCAGTCATCCTGACTTTACTACCTAGGAAGTTACTGGAATAAATTACAAAAAACAGTTAATTTGTAAGCGGCTGGAGGAGGAAGGAATTATCACTAGGACCCAACATAGATTTCCTGAAACAAATCATGCCAAATTAACCTGATTTCCTTTTTTGACAGGGCCTTAAATTTGGATTAGGTGAATGCAATGGGAATAATATACTTGGACTTCAATAGGGTTTTGATAGATGACATTCTCATAAGTAAATTAGAGAAATGTGGGCTGAGGAGCAGAGATTCAAATAATTCAAGGCAAAATCACTGTTAGGTGGATAAATAACTGGTTGAATAAATGCAAGCAGAAAATAATTCTAAATGCATGAATGTCAGAATGGCAGGATGTTTCAACTGGGGTTTCATAGGGATCTGTTCTGGGTCCAGTGGCATTTAACATTTTTATTATTGATATAGATGCAGGGATAGAGAGCTTTCACATCAAGTTTGCAGATGATACAAAACTAGAAGGACTTGCCGTCTTCTGATACAAGTAGAATTCTAAGGGATCTTGACTATTGGGCACAAGACAAAAGTATGAAGTCCAGGAAAAACAAAGATGCAGACAAATTGGAAAAGGTTCAGCAGAGAGCAACAAAAAATATTAGAGGTCTCAGAAACTTATGAGAAAAGGTGGGAAGAACTGGGGTTATTTAGTCTGGAGAACAGAAGTTTAAGGAGGGATCTGAGAACAGTCTTCAAATACCTGAAGGGTAGTTATAGAGAAGATGGTGCTAAACAGTTCTCTGTGGCTGCAGGGGACAGGACAAGGAGTGATGATCTTAAATTACAGCAAGGGAAATTTAGGTTGAATATTAGAAAGAACTCTCTCACTTTGGGGGTGGTTAGACGTTGGAACAGGCGATCTAGAACAACTGGGAGATTTTAAGAATGGGTTAGACCAACACTGGGCTGGAATATTGTAGAAAGGGTTAATCCTGCCTTGAGCAGGGGGTTGGATTAGGTGACCTCTTGAGAGTCCCTTCCAGCCCTGTTTTTCAATGATTTGATGAAATATGAAGTGCTCCACATAGGGAAGAAAAACAAATGCCCAAATACAGACTGGAAGATGATTGGTTAGCAGTAGCATTGCTGAGAGAAACACAGGTCGCTTTGGCAGGATTTAATTTTAATTTTTTAATAATTTTGACAGCTAAAATCAATGTTTATTTTTAAAGATTTATTTTGATTTGTATCAATTTAAATGTCCAGGATTGCATGAAATTAAGGGTGTAGGGGTGTGTGCGGACACACACAGACACATGCCCACAAATATGCTCACTTCTTCCTCCAGCCCAGCACACAACCTGCGCAGGGGAAGTTACTGTGCTGCCAGACTGTCAGTTTGCTGTCCAGTTCCTGTAGAAAGAGTCACTGAACTCAGAGCCCGCTTTCCGTTGTCCCATGGTGCTTGCTGCCCCCTGGCATCCTGCCTCACTCCCCAGCAAGGAAACCTCTGGCTGCTGGAACCACATCTGCCCCTTGCAGCCAGGAGCTTATTCTGCCTGTATCAGCTCCTGCTTGAGTTTGCAAGGGAGGGCCTGGCTGGCTAGCACCCTGAGGGGGCGGGGGCAGGGATGTACACACACACGCGTGCGCGCACGCGCGCGCACACGCACGCACACACACACACACACACACACACACACACACACACCTCCCTCCACCTGCAGCCACTGCTCAGTGAAAGCCCTCCCAGGCACTGCAGCAGCAACCTATTCTTACATCCCCTTTCTATAAATGTTGATTATTAACAACGGAAATATTTTTTCATCTGTCTGCGAGTGTGAGGTAAAAATTGACTCCTGCCAAGCCTAGATACAGGGGATTTTGGTGCATGACAGAGTTAACTAAAGCCAGCAATGCAATGTTGTTGCCAAAAAAAGCAAGAGCACTTTGGGCTGCATTAACAACAGGAACATAGTATGTAAAACATGGAAGGTTATTGTACCACTCTACTACTTCGGCCTCAGCTAGAGTATTACGTGCAGCTGGACTAGCTGATCCTTGAGTCCCTTCCAACCCTACAATTCTAATTTCATTTTCACTTTTTTAAAATGGCCTTGAAATATCACTTCCAAAGGACAATTTGGAATATTTAATTTAAGGGCATGTTGAAAAAAAGCATTTTAAGATATAGAAAAAGATTTTTCTGGAACATTTTTCCTGCCTGAAACCATTAGCTGAACTCAAGCCAAATTAGTGAATAGCTTTGTTGCCCTGGAACAGCATTTTCCAGGAATTAAATTATTTTTGTGAAAAAACTGGCAGCATTCTTACCACATAATAAAAACAATGTGAAACATTAGATTAAAAGCAAAAGACTCAATGAGCCTATGTAGACCCCTGACTGAAACAACTATTTGGCAAAAAGGCAATTTTTAGCTCAACAAGACCATCAGGCAAAGGGAAACAATTTCTAATTGACACAGAATAAAAAAAAAAGGCGATCAGCAAGTCCAAAAAATAAAAATAAGAATGGGAACAAAGGCAGGCATCACAAAATGCTTCATAATGTATCTGCTCAAATGAACAGGCTTTATAAATTAACTTCCCATTATTGAGCTGGGACCTCCTCTAGTGTTCCTTTTGAGAGGATGTTCCAGAGTTGAGGAGCTAAGATCAAGAGTGATTCCTCTTCCCCTCAGTTGGTCTAATACAAGAAATCACTTCTACCAAAGAACCTTGTCTGCCCATGTCCTTAGACAAACACGACTACAACCAACTACCCTTCCCCTCCCCACCCAAAGCCAAATCCTATTGAACCTAGGGGTGAAAAGGGACCTCCCACAGTCAGCTGCAGAGCCTTTGTCCACGTAACGCATTACCTAGATACACCGCAGGAAATGGCAGCAAAAATCGCCATTTCGCTAGATACCATACTGAGGCACGGGTTGAGAGACACATTTTAGTAACTTCTGAGTCACTATAATAGCTTTTCCAACCCAGAGTAAAAATAGATTTTTTTTAATATATGCTCTTATACTGGTTTAAAGAGATGAAAACAGAATAACTAAGCCTTTTGATTACAGGGTTTACTGGCTTCAGAACTCAGTTGTTTGATGCTAGCAATGGAGCAGCAATCCTGCCCTGCTGGCTGAGAAAACAAAGGAGAGACCGGAATAGGCTTTAGAAGCCTGCAAGGCCTTTTAGCCATGTTCTGTAGATTATTGCTTCCTCTAAAATAGCACATCAGTTGCTAACCATCTGTAGGCCCCTTGCAATGACTTAATGAGATGAGATGATATACTCGGTTTACTTTAAAAAGTAGTATGAGACCAGGCAAGCAAAGACCTGGGGAAAAATTTAAGTAGAAACTTGAAACTGAACTGAAATGGAAGTAGTTTTAGGATTTGTGCTATTTATTCAGTTAATCTAGTAAAATACCTTGGTTAATGTTAAAAGATTCTCCCTGTGATCTTTACCAGGCATGAGCCTCTCAGACTTCAAGTAATCAACATGAATGTCTCTACTATACAGAATGCTATCATAGGCAGGAGTTTTAAAGGTTTTTCCACATGTGGGTGCAGTTTACATGGAGCAGGGGATCTTAGCTGCTATAACAGTTAGTATTTCAGATGAATAGGTGTGAAACCCCTCAACATCTATAACGTTCAGTTGCCATGTTTTCCTGCCTTTCAAAAAAGCACTTTTACCACTTGCTTTTATGATAAGATATTGTCCTAAGACGACAGAGGAACACTATTGTCTTCACTATATAGTGTCCTGTTCCATAGACAGGAAAGAAGACAATGACACCCTGACAGTTATACTGTCCTCCTCTTCCTTTGATGTAATTCTACCCGAGCATTGAGCTATCACCTCCTAGATATTTACAAGTCAGCCTCCTGATCCTAGTTGGGCAGATGACAAGTAGTGGCTATACTGCTCCCTTCCTGTTTCCTCCCCCCTACTTGTATAATCCCAGTGGGAAAACAAAACTGTCTACTGCACTCCATGTAACTACTAAAGAAATGCCTTTTCTTCACCACATTCATTTGCTTCTCTTTTGTATCCCCATCTTTTCCATTTAGTCTGAGTTCTCAGGATGAAAGGCTTTTAGGACTTGCATCGTCTCTCTTTGTTTCTATAAAGCTCAGCAGAAATGGGCCCTTGTCCCAGTTAGAGTATTTAGGCACTATCACAATATAAGTATTTCCTGGTGAATGGCAGCCGTAAGTACGGTATGCCAGTATAAATGCTAGGTGTACCACCCTTTGCCTAAAATTCTCACTAACATTAATGTAGTATGAGTTTACCACCTGGCATAAGCAAGACAAAACACTTTTTATACTCTCTAAACTGTGAGTCTTTACTGGTTTTGCAGGAAGGACATTTGTGCTGGCATGAATCGTCCCTGTGAAACCTTGGGTTTGTCTCATCTGTCTGGTATGTGTCAGCCTCACCGGAGCTGTAATATTAATGAAGATTCTGGATTGCCCTTGGCATTCACTATTGCACATGAACTTGGACACAGGTATAGTGGAACATAAAAAGCATTTCCCTCCTAAATATGTTTGGTATTCTGTATATTCTGGGATAGACATTTCTGGAGAAAAAGAATGGTTGAAAAGTCTTGACTTAAGATATCTGTAAAGGCTCATTAGTGACATTTCCTTTGAAACATATCTCTCTTTATAGTATTGCCTCACCTTAGAGCCTCACACTACAGGGATGACTTGAGGATCAGGCCCTCAGTGAGCTTAATCCTTATTGCTTAACTTGCTTCAGGTGCTTTGGGCAAATTGCAGCCTCCATCTACATCTGTCATTTATATGCAAAAGCAATAAAACATGTAAGCACAATGTTTATGACTTGGAAGGAATCTGGGTGCAATATGGCTTCTGGGTAAAATTCAAGAAACTCTTGGTTTGAATATCTGGAGCTCTGGTGGATAGGTAATTCTCCCAATCTGGGTTGAGTTCCCATTCCCAGGTAGATCAGGCTGGGACATCCCTGGCACAAGATCGGGCCAGGGCTGGGGAGTCAGTCCTGCATGACGGTGGTCCTGGGGAGGGGAACTCAGCCTAGCTGGGCTGACTCCCCATCCCCCGCACTAGATCGGGCCGGGGCAGGGCTGAGGGATCTTGGGCTGATCTAGCGCCAGGGATGGAAAGACAGCCCAGCTGGGATGACTTCCTGTCCCTGGCCAGATCTTGCACTGGGAATGGGAAGATAGCCCAGCTGGACTGACTTCCCATCCCCAGCGCTATGGTCAAAACGTTTTGACTTTCGAAACGTTTCGACTAGCCTCATTTTGTTTCAAAGCTATTTTAAAGCCCTGTGTTTCATTTAAACTTTGCTGTTTCAACCTCAAAATGAGTCGAAACAATGTTGAAATGAAACAGCCAGCGAAATTTTGCACAGCCCTATAATATATAGTTTACTCTGGATTTTACATAAGTGAGGAAATACAACTGTCCTCTAAGGTAGGGGTGTCAAACATGCAGCCTGAGAGCTGGATCCAGGCTGCAGAGCTGCTCTACCTGGCCGCTGGGCTATCGGCAGTCTATTGGAAGTGGGAGGTATGCCCAGGGAAGTGGTCTGCCATAGAACCTGGGACTCTTGGGCCCTGGGGAACATGGCCATCAGCTGCAGGAGGGCAAGCGAGGGCTGGTACAAACTTGATCACCCTCTAGCCACTCTGCCCATCACCACCAAAGCAGTCCTACCTCCTTGGCTGATGGTCGTGCTGCTGCCACATGCCAGCACTGGAGCTGAAGCTGGAACTGTTATTGCCATGTGCCCCATGAGCTGCTGCCATGACACAAGGAATGTTGCAGCAGTTGTGCTCTGGCTCTAGTTCTGGCATGGGGCATGCAGCATGCAGTATGCTTTGGGAGCCAGGGCTGCTAACACCATCGCTGCCATGTGCACGGGGTTGCAGCTGGAGCTGCTACTGCCAGAGCCACCTTGTGCCTGGGGCTGGAACTGGCCCACAAATAGTCCCATGGTCAGGACCTGGTGACTTTGACACCCCCTGGCATAAGGAGCTCAATCATGTTTATCAGATCTGCCAGAGCAAAAAATCAGTAATTCCATTCCATAAGGAATTTCAGTATTTTAACCTGTGTTTTTGTCCCAAATTGAGATCAAATTGGAGATACAGTTTTTTCCATGGAAAGTGGATTCAGAAATGCCTGATATTTAACTTCCTCATTTTTGTAGTTAAACTATATTTTGATATTCTTGAGGTCATTTTTTTAAACTATTTTTTGAACAGATCTGATTTTTTTGATACTGTAAAGCTTTAGAAAGTATTTCTCTATTGTAGGACACAGCCTCATAGAGCACAATTATATGGTCTCTCCAGTGAGCCTGCATTGCATCATGGGAAATGTAATTTAGCTAGGGATACCAGCCTATATGAGAAAATAGGAACTTCAGGTATCTGGATAATAATTCCCATGAGACAACATACCACAACAGGGAAATGCAGTTTAAAGTTAGATAGACTCAAAGTAATATATTTAATGTCAGGTCTACTACTTAAAATACTCGATTCTTACCTTATTTTTATTTTTTTGTAGGTGAGAAATCAAAATAAAATATTTTCTGTTAAAATTGTTTTTTTTATTCTGAAAAATTCCAGACTGGCTGTACCCTCTATCCCAGAAGTGCTCAGCATCCAACCAGCAGGCCACCTGTTGCCCATGGAGCCATTGCATCTGGCCCTAGATCCATAAATTTGGCAGTGGGAGGGCAGTGATCATTAACATGGCCATTTTCCCCATGGCCAAATTCCCAAACCCCATGTCCCATGTGGCAGCTGCATCCCCTTTCCCCCTCATGGGGCCAGGCTATGCCCCTTTCCCCTCTTGTGGTTGGATCAGGGCCAGACCACAACCCCACCATGCCCAGTTGATAGTCAGTTGTTGGTGTATGCTATTTCAGTCAGTAATTCTCAGCACATCTAAGGGATTTAGGTGCTGTTGAAAATCTAACCCTTATTCTTTACATATGTACCTAGAAGGGGAGCAGGGAACAGCTTGTAAATGTTTAAAAGAAGTTGTGGAAGAAGGAATAAGATAAGCATACTTTTTTAGAGCTCTTCGGTCATTTTGTAATGACATTTTCAAGAAAAAAAGATTTTTAAAGTTTTAGAGGTTTTTGATTCATTGGGGAGTCTTAGGGGGTGTGTAGATGAAATGGCAGCCCTAAATTGAAGTGGTGGGTTTTTAAAAACACCCGTGCAAAGTAAACTTCCGTGTCATATACACCCGTGTCTTACTTGCCTCTCTGGTGGCAGGGAGGGGAGGGCGAGCTGCTGGTGGGTGGAGTAGTCCCTGGGCTGCCAGGGGGGGAGGGAGCTAGTGCTTCCATCCATGGCAGCAGCAGCCCCCCACCCCTGTCTCCCCAGGCAGCACCCACCCAAAGGCATCCAGCTTGGGTGGTCCTGGAGGGCACAGCAGCCATGGAGGGAAGGACCGGGTCATGCAGGCAGGCAGGCTCCAAGGGAAAAAAAGCAAAAAAAAAGATCTGGCGCTCTGCCTTTTTTTTTTTTCCTTCAGTGGAGCCTGCTTTCCTGGGCTGCTGCCAGGCGGCCTACATGGGCTGCCTACACAGCCCCTGAGCTATGGGTGTGGGGTAGCAAACTAACATTCCTCAGAGGCGTTTTAGTTTGCTATGCCCCAAAGTCATTTAAGGTGCATTATGCCACCAAACGTGCTACAGCAGCTGGAATTAATGTGCAATACACTGCTGATGCGTGCAAACTCCAACACTATTAAAGTGGTGCAAAAGCATTTAACCCACTTTCAAGTGTTTTGCACGTATGCCCCTCATTTTGTCTATACATGCCCATTGTGTGTGGTACTGTAACAACCTACAAAGGCACTGGTGTTTCAGCAAGATGTTTTTTGTTTATGGTTTTTACAAATTGTTCATTAAAACATTTCTTACTGGGATCAAAAAGACTTGAAGGAGTTAGATAAACCTTAGTTCTGAGGGGTTTTGGGGAGGACATGCTATGAAGATGATCTGTTTTCAATGTGCAGTATGAAGAAATAGAGAGAGATGATGAGGAAATTAGAGACCAACATACTGATCATTTCATGAATGTATGACAATGTGGGAAGCAGCACATCTGTAGAAATCAATCACTCAATAGTGACACCATTAAAATGATAAATAAAAAGAAAAGTATGGTATCAGGGTAAATGATTATGCAAGAAAATCAGTACTAACTGATCATCAAATTCTGCCACTAGTTTTACAATGTTGAAAGTTTGAAGTATCTCCTGAAGTGAATGGAATTCTTTTTCATTTACTCCAGCAACTAAGAACAAAACATAGCCTGTAATTCTGGGGACAGATATTGCTTTTGCCCAAACTTTCAGTAATATATCCCTAAAATGTCTGTCTTTCTAAAGCCACTCATTGCAGTCCCCATCCTCATTCTCTGATCTTTATCAGCCCTCCTGGATTAAACAAGGTTTATCCTGCCCAGGGATGAATGAGTGTGGTTCAGGAAGTCATGTTGATTCTATTTTACTCCTTCCCTCAGAGTCATTACCAAATTAATGGCACTAATAAGCATTGCTTTATGCACAAGGCATAGAGCAAATCCCTTAGCACTTCTGCTAGAGAAGGGGTACACACTGTGAGGCTGTGGGCAAATTCAAATTGGATGAAGATATTATGACTCCCTAAAACTCTCAGTTTCAGTCAGGAAAGTATATATGTTAGTTTTTGTTTGGATAGTTGCTGTGTACTCTGAGCCTGATCTGAACCCATTGAAGTTAGTGGGAGACTTCTGTACTCTGTGGCTCAGGCACTTTATGGGGCATCTTTTTTTAACTGATGAATGAAACGATACTTGTACATTTTTCTACACACTGCAGGGTTTTTATAAGACAGGTGCTATGTAAACAGTGGCTACAGTGATTGCTTCTTGTGCTTGGTAACGTGTCTGTCTCTCAGTTTTGGTATCCAGCATGATGGAAAAGACAATGACTGTGAGCCTGTTGGAAAGCGTCCGTACATCATGTCCCGGCAGCTACAGTATGACCCTTCTCCACTTACCTGGTCACAGTGCAGCAAGGAATACATCACACGTTTCCTAGAGTGAGTGAATAGAAAGTGATATCTACCCGGTGTAGTGGAAACCTTTGACATTACCGGTTCTCATGCCATGGCACTTCCAAAACTGACTGAACAGGATACTCTGATTTCTGGAAGCTTGGTTATATACTGCTTCAACTTAGACTTTGATATCAACTGAGTTCAACATCTGGTGGGACCCACGGCCATCATGAGTTACTGGGAGAAAAGGCACAGGAAGGGGCTTTGGTTCTATTGCTAGTATTTCCTGTGGGCCTAAGTGATGTGTCCAAGCTTACATTTTTTTTTAAATGTGACACCTGTGGTGGTATTGTGAGAGTCTGCAGGCCTCACTGAGGTCATTCTAATAGCTATAGGCATTTCATTGTATTTCCAATGGAAAAATCATATATTTCCCATATAAAATTCCCTTAGTTGATGGTATGAAGAAAGTTGCGGCAAAAGTCTTTTCCATAAAGCATTGGAAGAAATGAGAGCTGCTAAAAGCTACATAGCAGCCATGACCTACCACACAGCAGAATCACAATTTTTTTGTTGCATTTGCATACCTTGATCCTTCTAAAAAATGTAGGATTTGAACAATGGGCAGGTAAGAATACAGAAATCAATATGTTGTTTGTTCCTTAATGAGCAGCTGCTCCTAGATTTTAAAGTTCTTTGCTCTTCCCACAGCTAAACTTTACTGGAAATAACAGCATATTTGCTCAAAGTCCACCATTGCCCCAGCTAAAATCTGGAAGCATTATTACGTAAGGACTGCATGGGAAAGAGCCATCAGTGACTTTAAATTATTAGATCATTTTCAGACATTAAAAAAATCATGAGTCTTTTGTGTCTCTAATTTGTCACTTTCATCTTTAGCCGAGGGTGGGGATTCTGCCTGGATGATATCCCAAAGAAGAAGGTTTTAAAATCCCCTCTCATTGCCCCTGGTGTTATCTATGATGTACATCATCAATGCCAGCTGCAGTATGGTCCCAATGCTACTTTCTGTGAAGAGGTGGATGTAAGTACTGTTTATTCTCATTATTCTTCGGATGCAAATGCTAGCTTTTGGCTCTCTCTGCATCCTGACCAACTTCTTCATGGGAAAAGTTACATTTGGTTTTGAAATCCTGCAACTGCCAATTCATATCACATGAATATGACTGTTCTAACTGATTGTGTCATGGACTTGGGCCAGAGCTGAAAAAGGATGTAGGTGCCAAAGCAGGGCTTAGATGAAACTGAGGCATTTAATTCAGAAAACAGTGACATGCTCAACTGTTGTTAAGCTCTTCAAGTACTTGTGGGAACCCTGGATGCATGCCCAGAACTGCCTCAGCCTTAACAAAGCTGAGCAGCTTGACACCTTAGATTACAACCAAGCCTGGTTGGCATCCAGAGATCAGGAATGCCTCTTTGGGCCACTGTATACATGCAGGTAAAGGCAAAATGGATCTAATGTGTGATCCACACAATTGTGCCTCCTGCTGTGCAAGCTGTGGTTACCCTAAGGTGGTAACAAAACTATTACTATGTTGTGTTAGAAAAACTTCTTACAGTGATAGAAAAGGAAATAAACATCATGCAAGCAAACTCAAGGTCATAAGCTGCTTGCAAGAGGCAAGGCCAGCTGATACTGCAGACACCAGCAAAATGAAAAGTTGAGATAATGAGGCTACACAGAACTTAAGCAATGATTAAATGAGGTTGAATATACAAGAAAACTTTAGACAATACTATAATTCACCACTCTGTAAACAGGTGCAACTTTATAGCATAAAATATGACAAGCTACCCTAACACGACACCTGCTCCAATGCGTTGCAATTAGCGTGCTCCAGCAGCCTCGGTGTCCTGTGTGTTTAGTGACCCTGCACTTCAAAATGATGGTGGGAGCGCTTTAAGTAAAGCTTGCCACCATTTTGAAATGCAGGACACTGAATACACAAGATGGTGTGGGCACTTTAGTTAGAGTGGCCCCCTGGAGCTGCTCTATTTAAAGCACTCCTCCCTAAGTGACTTAGAAGAAATGGTTTCAAAGAACCATCTAGGTTGTTTGCTCCATTTTGTTTATTACGAGAATCTGCATCTAGCCCCATTGAGATGACATTGTACATTTCTGATTCATCTTTTTAGTTGTAATGAATAGTATGGGCAGCAACCCTCAACTGTACCAGTTGAAACTGAAGTATATAATGACATGTTGCATTCATTATATGTCTCACAGCTGTTCTCTGGTGTTGTAATTTGCCTTTTGGTACAGATTGGAAATCAAGGTATCATTTAACCTGTTAGTTAATTCTGCCTCTCGCTTGAACGTGAATTTACTAGAATTTTATATTCAGTTTCTCCTAATTAATTTATAGCTAAATAGATATGAGTAAATTAAATTGTAGCATTTTTACAAGGCCTCTATTTTGCATAAAATAATGCAATGCACATTCTGTTTAATCTTACTGCAAAATCAATAAACATGAGGTATTTATACGAATAATAATTAAATAGTTTGTGGGTGTCCTTAATTTTGATACAAGACTATGTGAAAGTGTAGCATACTTAATATTAACAAAATTAATGTATACTTTGAGAGAGATGACCGTTATGCTGCCTTGCCACTTTCTGGTTAATTTATAGACAATGTGTAACTTACCCCACTGTTTACATGTTTGATGAGTTTGGTCCAGAAAGTCCCATGGGATGTGTGTCTGCTTACCCTTGGTTGCATTTAGCTGAATTTAAACTGGTTTCCTTACTGAAATGATCACTTTGAGCAATGACTGATACTTAGCAGTTATGTAGAGCTTTGTCTTCAGCGTGCCGAAAAAAATATATGTTTAATATTTACAGTGATTAAGTAAGTAGTATCCTTGTTATATTGAGGAGGAAAAAGGATCACTGATTAGTGGGACAAATTTTTCCAAAGGGATGGAAAGCCTACCATTCCCTTCACTACAGTGGAAGCTGCAGGTATTCAGCACCTGTGAAAATCTGACCAAGAGCCACCTGCTGGAACCTTTTCCCCAGAACCATAGGTAGAGGGAGAAAATATTATTTTGGGGGTCTGAACGTGTGTGCATGCTTGTGCGTGCACGCATGCCCCTGCCCTTCACCTCCGCACAGGTAAGTGTGTTGTAGGGAAGGGGCATGTGGGAGGCAGATCAAGGCCCTCATAATGAGGGAGGGAGTGGGGCAGGGGCAGAGGCAGGGGCAGGACTGGGGCAAATGGGGCCCTGGGGCTGGGGCAGGTTGTGGGATGCTTGGAGCCCAGACACCTGATCTGGGGGGTGGGGGGAGGGCTCCTGCCACTGCATGCACCCTGGCAGAGCCCCAGGGAGCACAGGACCCCAGATCTGTGTGTGGGGCAGAGGTGGGCTGCACTCTGTGTCCCGCTGCCTAGGAGCAGCATGATGCCATGTGCCCGCCATGCACAGGGCACAGAACCCAGCGATGAGACACACATGGCATCACTCAGCTCTCAAGGCAGCGGGGTGCAGAACCCAACCCACAGTGGCAGTCTGCCTCCACCCCACGCACAGATCAGGGGGCATGTGCCCCCCTCTTGCCTCTCCCAGGGTGCACATTATGGTGGGAACCCTCACCCCCACCCCCACGCCCTTGGATGAGCCATGCAGGCTCTGAGCATCCCATGACCCACGCTAGAGCCCCATTCACCCCAGCCCCTGCCTCTGTCCCACTCCCACCTGCACTGTAGGGGACTTGATGTTCTCCTCCTCCCCCAAGCCCATTACCCTTCACATAGTACTGTACACTGAAACTTGCCTGGCTGTCGTGCTGGGCAGCAGTCCACATGCCTGGACTATGATCCTGGCTGGCTGTGATCCTGGGTGGCTGCAAGCCTGGCTGCATGTTTGAGTGTGCACCCCTCCCCAGCAGCCAACAGCCCACAGTTGAGTTGCCCTGTGGGCCCCCCATCTGTGGGGGCTAAGCCTTATTATCCCCAGCCTTCTGCCACCTATGCCCAGAACCCCTAGAAGTTACTTCTTCAGCAGAGAAGTAACTTCGAATCAGAAGTAACTTGGCAATCCTGCTTGATTACAGCAATGGTTTGACACCATGCTACCTCCATCCCAGGGGTCTTCTACTCACCTCCACACCTCAATGTCCCTGACCACACCCCATACCATGCTGCCCCTCCAGCCCCCTCAAGCCTTACCCCTACAAGCCTCACCCCCTCCCCCATCCCAACACTGACCCCCAAAGAAGGACAGTTGCCTGCTTGCCTATACCACCCAGCAGTGGTATAGGCAAGCAATGGGACATAGCAGCAGCAGCAGATAGCTGGGGCAGAGGTAGGTTGAGGCTGTGGAGGCTCCCATGGCATGCAAAGGTCTCAGAGAATTCTCCCTTCAGGGTATTACACTGCTGCTCAGACAACTGCTGCTCAGATGGCACTATTTTGCTCTGTCTATTCATTAATATTTGTCTCCCTCTTCTTTCCCACAAGGGATTTCAGTCAAGCTCCTGGTTGCTTAGTTTTTTATGGATGACTCATTTTTTTATAGACTTTATGGATAGGCATTTTAGCTTATATTTGTATTGACTGCTCATAATTCTGGCACCTCAAGCAGGGGGTTGCTGAGTGGTTGAGTCCTACGTTCTGCATATGGGTCATTGCTGCCACTGCTCCTGTAGTGCAGGGTGATCCTAATGTGGTGCAGGCTCATCAAGGGCTGCTATTCTGGTGCCCCTCTTAATCTAAACCTGGAGCTAGTGTCCTGCTTGCTCACCCCAGGTTATGCTACTGGGTGTCAGTGAGATAGAGATTTGATACTGAGCCTCTGAATTTAGAGACAAAGTGGCTTAGACTGAAAATACTTTGAGGAGGAGACCCTGATTTCAGAGCACATGCTGAAAATAAAATAAATGATTTCTCATGCAGTATGTGAATTCAAGAGTTATTAAACCCTGTCATTCCCACATGTGCCCAATTAAAATGTTATATACTATGTATGGTATTCTTTTCTTCTATCATTATTAATAATGAAGAAAAGTCTGGGATATAGAAATGTATAATTTCTATTAAGGTTAATAAGTTTACTGCAAAGAACCCTCACTTTTTAATGGAAGAATACGTTTGCTTTTAAATCTATGGACATCTGCTTAGCATGAAAATGTGACTGTCAGCAGTGGGCTGAATTCAACTTAAATATACAGGTATGTTAGTCTAATAGACAAAATGTTGAAGTACACTTATTAGCAACTATGTATCGCTCTGATTATTTGAAACGTAATGGTGGAGTGTGCTTCATAGAATATAAAAGAATAAAACATCCTCTGTATAAATAAGGACAAAAACATACTGTACACAGTGAAATGCAATTCTTCAACCAGAATAAATGTCTAACATTACCACTTCATCCTGAAAAAGTTGTGCCCCATCCATCCACTAAACAGTGTTTTTATTGAACTAAAAGTATTGAAATGTGGAGAATATTGAGCTGTTGTCTATCCTCAGTTGTTCTTTCCCAGTATTATAATGTGACCAAATAGAGACCAACAAACACTACACATTGGCCGCATCCACATGAGCAGGGGCGTGTGTTTACAGCAGCAAAAATAGTAGTGGCACAAATTTGTGCTGCTGCTTTGTGCTGCAGTGCACGCCCTGCTCATGTGGTTTGCAGTGGAACACATTGTCCCACTGCTCCATGTGTTGGGGTGGGGCTGGCTGGAGCGCACAGTGCATCAGCACAGGGTGGGCCAGCAGGCAGTCCCCTTGGTGGGTCAGCAGCCAGCTGGGGAGCAGTACATGGAAACAGGGGAGCAGACATCCCAGGGGACTGTGAAGTCCCTCCCTCCCTGCACTGAGGCACATGGAGGCATGCTGCAGATCCACTGTGCCAGCTCAGAGAGCTACCTGCTCCCCCTGCTTGAGGCACACTGCATCCCAGCCAGCCAGAGAGCAGCTGGATGGGATACGGTGCCTCAGCTTGAGGGATCTGCAGTGCACCCAGGGCTGCCTGCTTCCCTGTTTCCATGTTTGTCCCACCATTTTGGTGT